CAATCTGGCTCCTCATTTTACCCACCTGTGAAGGATGGAAGGCTGAGTCAACCTTGAGCCTGGTGGGATTTGAATTGCCAAATTGCAGGCAGCCTGCAGTACTGGGCCACCGAGACTCGACCATTGGGAAACCCTGGGCTTCTGTTGGTATGTGCTAATCTGCCTTCCCCCCCATCCACCCAGTCCCTTTCACTCTGAGGGAGATGGCATTGGCGCCAGCGTGGATGCCCCCTCGGCCTCCTTGGCTCAGACTTCCACTGGCACGGCTGAGGCTTGGGCAGAGAAGGAGCTTTTCCCTGCCCAGCTGTCGGAAGCCCTGGAGAAGGAAGGAGATGGAAGCCCTGGAGGCTGGATCCTGCCTGCCTTGTCTTTAGTCTTTAGTGGATGAAATCAGGATTTTTTTTAAAAAAAGACATTATTATTATTTTTTAATCTTTTGGGGGTAGGTGTAGAGATGGGACGGCCTGGGGGAAAAAATGGAAAAAATTGGAGAAAAAAACTGGGGTTGTTTTCCCCAATTTTTCAGGGTTTTTCCCCCAGGCTTTGTGTGTGTGTGTAATAATGATATTTCACAGCAGTGAGGTTTTGTTTTTTTTTAAAAAAAAGCATCAAATGATGATTCTAAAGAGCAGGCGAGAAAGAGAGGCTGGCCATTGAATTCATCGCCCCAACCCCTCTTGGACTTGAGCTCAGGAGCCCAGAGGGCTCAACCTCCATCTCTCTCGTATCAGCATCTCGCCCCCACAAAAGCTCAGAACAGTTGAACTGGAGACTTGGGCTCCTGGGTGCTGAGCCTCTGATTTCAGTTTCAAGCAGCTGGGCCGTTTGGTCGGCTGAGGGAAGAGCGACGGGGTCCCTCTAGCAGTGGGACCCTATGTGATGACCCAGAGTGGGATACCAAAACAGCAAAGTCACAAAAACAGGTGGAAGTCCCTTTAATTCCTTCAACTTGGTCTCCAAAGTCCAATTATCACTGACTGGAGGAGAAAAAACTCCCCCACAAACAGTTGCAAAAAGGAAGAAATTCCGTTCAAACTCAAAATACCTATAAATTATAAATAGGAAAAAAAGAACACAAACCACACTGAAGCAATTAACGAGACAAGTCAGGATAAGGGCTTGAAGATGTCCACAGATATCAAAATGCACACACTGGGAAGGAGGCCAGAACTCAGATAAGAACTGACAAGACTAGAATTATTTCACGCTTTGCTTCCGGCACTGGGCCGTGCGCAGTTTGTCCTTCTAAACAGTCCTCACAGCTGCAGCCCATGAAGGGGATCAGGGCCCCTTCCTCCCCCGTAGACCACGCCACTCACGTTTCTCCCTTATCCACTCCTCCCTGCGTGCTCTAGGATGAAGAGGGGATAGGCCTGGGTCTTCTTCTGAATGCCTAGCTGGCCTCCAGTTTCCTCCACAACACTCCCACTCCCTGTCGGCTGTTCCTCCTCTCCCTCAGAGTCAGATTCTGACAGGGGCACGACACTACCTCTTCCACTACCAGTTCAGTGATCGTGTGCGAGCGCGCACGTGCAGCTTTCCCCACACCAGCTGAGGCCTGGAAGGCCGATCCTGTGCTTTTGTCTTTTTGGTGCTGATGGTGGGAGGGTTTTTCTTTTTTACCACCAGTACGGCCGAACTGGGCCAAACCGGTTGAATGCCACCGCTTGGGTCCCTCCATGCTCTCTGTGTCTCCCGCAGTCGTCCTCCCTGATTTCGAGTGCCACCGCGGCCGCTTTGCTGAGCTCCGGAGCAGTGGACTATTGCCTTCACGTCCTGAAGTCCCTGCTGGACTACTGGAAGAGCCAGCAGAATGACGAGGAGCCCGTGCCCACCAGCCAGCTCCTGAAGCCCCACACCACCTCCTCTCCGCCGGACATGAGCCCGTTCTTTCTGCGGCAGTACGTCAAGGTGAGATTTGCGGTGGCCGAAGGCATTGACGTCTTTTCAGACGGGTGGACTACAACTCCCAGAAACCCCCTGGCCAGCATTCAACACTGGACTAATTCATTCATGGGGAGGGGTGTGTGTGGAGGGGCTAACGTTCCCTTTCCAGGATGTGATAATAATAAAAAAAAACAACTCTTAAAGGAGTGGCCAGAATTTCAGATTTTGAAGAATTAGGAACATGGTCGCCATAGCAATGGACTTCTATACCGCTTCGCAGGGCTTTACAGCCCTCTGAGGATCAGCTCTCTCAGGATGAAGCAGCCGGCTGTGTGCAGAGTTAGGCTGCCATTTTGTATTCTAACCTTTGGGAAGGAAGGAAGGAAGGAAGGAAGGAAGGAAGGAAGGAAGGAAAGGAAGGAAGGAAGGAAGGAAGGAAGGAAGGAAGGAAGGAAGGAAGGAAGGAAGGAAGGAAGGGGAAGGAAGGAAGGAAGTAAAGGAAGGAAGGAAGGAAGAAGGAAGATAGCAATAGCACTGTGACTTACATACCACTTCATAGTGCTTTCCAGCTCTCTCTAGGCGGTTGACAGAGTCAGCCTCTTGCCCCCAACAACCAGGGTCCTCACTTTACTTACCTCGGAAGGCTGAGTCAACCTTGAGCCAGTCAGGATCGAACTGCTGGCTGTGGGCAGAATTAGCCTGCAATAGTGCATTCTAACCGGAAGGAGGGAAGGGTAAGGGAAGGAGGTAAGGAAGGAAGGTAGCAATAGCCCTTAAGACTTATATACCACTTCACGGTGCTTTCACAGCCCTCTCTAAACAGTTTACAGAGTCAGCCTTTTGCCCCCAACAATCTGGGTCCTCATTTGACCCACCTCGGAAGGGATGGAAGGCTGAGTTCAACCGGTCAGGATCGAACTGCTGGCTGTGGGAATGCCGAGTTCTGTATACCAGTGATCCCCAACCTTTTTTACGCCGCGGCCCGGTACCGGCATTAGCTGGGCGCCGCCATCTTTTTTTGATGAAAAAGTGCTTCCGGTGAGCTTTCTACCCGGAAAAGCTCACCGGAAGCACTTTTTCATCAAAAAAAGATGGCGGCACCCAGCAAGCCAGTGGCCCGGTAGGACTTGTTCCACGGACTGGTACCGGTCCGCGGACCGGTGGTTGGGGACCCCTGCTGTACCACATTCTATCCTGTGCTTTGTTTACTTCTTCAGTCTCAAATTCGATTGTTTTGATTCTGTTGAAACAGCAAAAAGTTTGGTGTAGGCTGATGATCGGGGTTTAAAGAAGGCAGATAGTTAAATGGTGTCGCTCTTAGAACAATATCGCCCAGGGGAACCTCGGAATCATGGGGTTAGTTGTGGAAGCTGAATTAAGGACGGAGGGTCTCCAGGAACCTGGCTGGAGAAAAACATTGGATTATCCCAGCTGCGAAAATTAAAATTAAGATCCTCTTTATTGTCATTCTTTACCCTGATCACACTGGCCCGCGTTAAAAATGGAATTCTGCTGCCTGCTTTCAAAGTATAGGTAGTCCTCGACTTACAGCAGTTCATTTAGTGACCATTCAAAGTTACCACGGCCCTGGAAAAAAATGACTTAGGACCATTTTTCACCGTCACGGCCTTTCCCGCATCCTCGGGATCATGTGATCAGAATTCAGGTGTTTGGCAAACTGGTTCATGTTTATGATGGCCGCGGGATCCCAGGGCCACGAGAACCCCTTTTGTGACCCTCTGACAAAGTCAGGGGAGAAGCCAGATTCACTTAACGACCGAGTTACTAATCTATCAACAGGAGTGCTCCACTTGACAACTGAGGCAAGAAAGGCTATGAAATGCCATGCAATGCATGCACGACACCCCCCCCCGTGATTCCCCCGCCCCCCCTGCACATGCGTACGCATCTCCCGCATGCGCCCTGCTCCTCCCGCATGCACGGCAGAGACCTGAAAATCAGCTGGCTGGCATGCGCAGTGGAACTGAGCTGGGGTGATGGCGCGTGTGCCTGCAGAGACGGCTCTGGGTGCCCCTTCCGGCATGTGTACCATAGGTTCGCCATCACAGGAATAGAGAACAGAATAGACTAGAAC